CCTAAAAGCGGAGCCTCCAATACGCAAGTCACAGGGAGCCTAATTCACAAAAAAATTGATAGTTTTAAAAAGCTCGTTAAAAAAAGTCGCCATTTTCCAAGTGACGTGTGATTTGAAAGCTCGACCAATCAGAAACGCGATGTACACCTGGCTGGCGACACTTTTAGCGTTACGCAGAGGATTCCCATGCGATGACCACGAAAACTGAGTTGCATAGTTTACCATATTCTATACCTATGATGCTCCGCTCGCGCGGGRCTTCGGCCCGCGYGGGAGCTCCGCTATTAATAGATAATCCTGCAATAATCTACTTTCTATTTTCTTATATTTAGACTCATACTTCTTTAGTTTGCCCTAAGAGCAGAAGCTCATCGAGGGGGCTCACTAAGATTTAACCAATTTCCTCCAGTTTTCTGTGGTATATCCTCTTGTTTACCACGATTTTCGTCATCTAGCCATGAAAAGTTTGTAGACCAACGAGGCGTAGCCGGGGGATAAAAACGGTTTCAAGCGCGCGCGTGATTTGCGCATGCAATTTATTGGTATTTCCTCCTAACTCCCACGGCTCTAGACCAATAMGAAAGCAAGAAAATTCACAAATGTGGTAAAAAACYACTATCTATATCTCCCTTCCCAACCCGGAAGCCCATAACGCATAATGAACCAAACTAATGTTTTAATCATGATTCTCGTTTTTTACCTCCAGAGCAAACAGGCGTAGTAACTCTAAAAGGAAAGCTTGACCATGAAACTAAACCATTAATAAACCTGACTGTTATGGCSAGGGATCGTGGGACTCCTAAACTAGAGGGTTCTGCTTTTGTTATTATAAAAGTAACTGACGTGGATGACAATGCGCCACAGTTCACGAAGGACGAATACACTGCTCAAGTTTATGAAAATATCACCAAAGGTTCATTCGTGGCTCAAGTAAATGCGACAGATATTGACGCCGATGAAGCCCACAAAACTATTTATTACAGAATAGAGGATGGCAACACAGGAGACGTGTTTGCAATTGGGAAATTGAATGGCTCTGTTTATCTCAAATGTGGTTCGTCTGGTTGCCTTGATCGAGAGACTACGAATGGATACGTGTTGACTCTTGCTGCTATTAGTATTGTGAACGGCTCTGAACAAAAATCAACAGTCGAGGTAAGAAAAATTAAACATTCCATGGTTTTCAACAATTAGGGCTTTATAGCGCATGCTCTCTCTAAATGCATGCCTAGATCTAGTGTCTTTTAGGCCTTTTTCCCTCGGTTCATTCTCCCTGTAAACCAAACTCCCCTGGTTTTTCGCTAAGTTAAGTTCTATCTTCTATGCGTGTTTAATGTTCCCCTTATAGATATTGCATCGTCTCCTTTTTGTCACGTACGCACAGGCTTTTATTATTCTAATTAGAAAGCGAATTATTTAATAGCCGTATTTAACTAAACGAATACTGCATGTATTCAAATCATCATGGCACTTCATTTTTTAAGGTCCAGAAGTAGAAATATCTCGTAGATTATGTTTAAAAAAACCTTGCGATTTGAACGTACATTTTCTTTGTAGCTTAAAATCACTGTGCTTGATGTCAATGACGTAACGCCAACCTTCGTGTCTYCATCCTACACGAAGAAAGKGCAAGAAGATACTGGTGACATCACTGGGAAAGACAACACTATAYTAACCATAAGTGCTAGAGATACGGACCTTGGAGTGAACTCTGAGATTGTTTATTCCATGATAAAAGGAAACGAACAAGGTAACTATGCAAATACATTCACAAAAATAAG